ACGACAGCTTGTATGTTGAATTCTAGCCCTTGCTGCCCTGATGTGGGTCTTTAAGGTACGCCAACTGGGTTATTCGGCTCCTTTAAGGGAGAAAATCTATTGAAAAGGTAACACCAGGGAACTGGGACCTCTCCTTCAGTCCCGGCTCCAGGAGACTCCTTCAGTGACTCCACTCAAGCCACTTCCCACCTCATCCTTGATTCCCTTTCTCCCGAAAAGACAAGCAGCACTTGCTGTAAGAAGATGCTTGCGGATGCAAAGCGCTTCCTACGCTGTGCACCGCACTGCAAACCGCTCTCGGACGGACAGTTCCCAAAGCCGTCGTTTTTATTGCCGTAGCCGCGATTTCCAGCTCCACCAGAACACAGAGGAACTGCAGAAGAGGCCCAGCTGCTTTGCGTTACCTCTCGATCCCAAGTGAAAGGAAAGAACTGGCAACGCGCACGTCGCCCATCACTCCGGGATGTTTTAACATCTCCAGGTGAGCGGAGTCTGAGGAGGGACGTGCGTCCTGGGTGACATTCCAAGGTCTTCAGAAAGGCCAGATGAGTCAATTTGTTTGCTATAGACAGGACTCCACACTCGGAAGATGTGAATCCGACGCTCGCCCTTGGCCAAGATCCTCCCTTAGCAGCAGCAATTCGTATTTGCACCAATTGATCAAGTATAACTCGGAGGAAAGGGGTTTGTTTCACCGCTTCTACGTCAAGGAGAGACTTTGCATATATATGTGCATGCATGTCTGTGCGTATATGTCACGTACCTACACACGTACGAGGAATTCACAGAGCAAAAACCGAAGAGAGCAGGTAAGCAGCCCAAGGATTTCTCCCCCCTCGCCTATTTGTATATTTGCATAGTTAAATCGGCTCAAGGCAGCGACACCGCAGTCACGTTGTGCCCTCTTCTGCGGTGCAGGCAACGTTTCCTGTCCCTCCCTACACCTCCTCCCTTCTGTCTTGGACCGAACAGCACCAGTGTTGTAAAGATTAAACAAGACGCGGACAGAAACGGGGCCTCGGTGGCGAGACGCCTCTCCCGCTGATGGAGCACGGACACAAACGGGTGGCAGCTCTCGAGCTGCACCTCGAGCGGCCGCGGCAAGCCGAGAAACGCGAGCGACACAACCACAGCCTCGGGTTCATGGGTTCGACGCCGAGACGACAGCGAACACCAGTCTCTATCGTTCACCAGGCACAGAAACAGGCACGTGTCTCCACCCTTCCTTTTCCAAGCAGGAAAACCCCCGGGAAAAGGGAACATGCTGTGTTTCACGTCTCTGTAAGCAAGCTAGCACGGTACCCACAGCATCGTTTTTGGGTTTTCCCATCGAAATGACGCCGCCCATCATCCCCTTTTCCTATTGCACATCCTCTTTGCGAAGAACGACGTTTACAGTACAAGGCTGAAGTCAACATTGCATATCGTCAGTCGGCAGGTGAAGGTGTACCACGGAGACGGGAACCGAAACAAGACCCCCCCTTTCATCACATCCGAGAAGTAACGCAGACACGACCAGGCATCGGAACCGCACGCTGGTCTTTAAACACCCGACGAGTTTCATCCTGTTTAGAATTCAAGACTTCCTAGGCATCAGATGCACTCAAAGAGCATACACACACAAAGAAAGGGCGACATCCAGGCTGGCACACCCCAAAAATCTCCCTAGGGGGAAGAGCTGGAAACGGAAGAGGCGCGGACGTTAACGCGGAGCGTCGCCAGCACCAGGCTTCAGGTGTGCGCTGCTAAGGTTTACTGAGCAGAGGGGAAAAGGGCGCAGAAACTCTGTTCAAAGCAACGCAGATACTCTGGGACCCCTGGCAAGAACGGCCCGGAGCAGGGGCCGGGGTCCCAGAGTAGGCATGGGGGTGCTTTAAACAGCCAGCCCCTAGCAAACTTTGGATATCCAGGTCAGGAACACACAGAAAAAAAGGCTAAAGGGCATCTCCAATGCGGGGAGAAAAAGTGAAGTAATTTAAGTAAAGCACCAGGTACCTTTTTTCCTTTCAATTTAGAGAATATACAGTGGCCTTGTTTTCACAAAATGCTACATACTCCTGGCTGGAAAGCAGAGGAACCCGATTTCTATGTACACAGTAAGAACTCGACAGAGATGGCCCGCGGGCTCTGCGGAGAAAGGGGTGGTACAGTCAAGGCTTCAGGTATCCCACAGCAGGCGGTGCTTACGCTTGTGTAGCAAGATCCTGGATTTCACAGTACGCAGGCTCGGCAAACTGGAAATTCTCTGGCAGCTTCATGTAGTTTTAAAAAATAAGTGCAGTAGGCCTCCGTTTTATTAACCGTGATAAAAAGCACGTATGCAAAAATATTTTCGTCATATCGACAGCACGGTACTGCATTAGAAAAGCTGCCCAAGTGAAGCTGAAGATTCTGGCAGCTGGTGCTTTTGGCACTTGGGAGATGTGGAAAGCAGCATAGAGATCTGTGAAATACAACAGTGACTGATGTTTCTGCTACAGTGATCGGCGTTAATAGAGTGAGCAGTGTTCGTAGGTAAACTTCTCTGTGAAGTTTCTGAGTCAATATCCCGCTAAGAGGAGATATTCAGATCTCTTAAAGCTACTGGTTTAGGCTGTGTGCAGACTCAGGAAGACTTCCCTATCAGTTTACACATTTCGCACGTTTCCAAAGTCCTCTTGCAATCCCAAAAGGCTGGCGACACCTTTTTTTTTTCCTCCTCTTTTAAAAGAGCCTGGATTTAGAAGCGCAATTCTGTCACAGGAGTTGGAAACTGTAGTCACAGATCTGCAGAAGATGCTGGGCCCTGCTTACGCTAGAGATCTCCTCCAAGTCCCAGATCGAAACAGGATAGAAACTGTTTTGAGACGGCCAAACGGTTTCGTTTTAAGTTTACAAGACATGCATTAGCAATGGGAGGAGAGTCCTTTGGACATTTCCACTTGGGAATCCTGTTTTCAGTAAAATTCTGTGATGCACAAACACAAAAGCTCAGCTGCCTACATTCGCGCTTATTAAAAAAATGCCACGAGTCGAGCGAAACCTTCGCCCTCAAGCGTTAAGTGATGGGTTTTTGCTTACGCAGCCTGCATAAAACTGCAAGTGCCGTGTCCTCATATCTAGAGATATAGAGGCGGGTATATCTGTAGATATTTTATCTCTTGTGCAGAACGTCCTCCTTCCGTGCTAGCAACTGAAAGGCCAGCACGTGCCTCCAGCTTGCGGCTCGCACCTGGAGACGGCTGTGGACCGCAAAGGGAGCACAGCACCGGCACCGTGGAAGGCAAGGAAAGGAAGACAGGGTGCCGCCGCCGGCCGCGCCGGTCAGCAGCAGGCAGTATTCTAGCAGGTGCCCGGAAAACCCATGGAGACCACTTAGCATGCATCAGACAGTCAGAAAATACTCCTTGCAGGCACTGGGTGTGAAGGCACAGCCAAAAAAGACAACGGCAAAGACAAAGCTGAAATACAAAGGCATGAGTTTCAACTGCACCTTAAAGACGAAAATTGTGACTGCGCCTCAAAAAGCGGAAAACCGACAGAACCCGGACACCGCAGGCTGAGATGCAACGTTTTTCAAGCCCACGAAGGCTAAAACCAGCGGTGCCAGGCCGCTCTGCCGAGGCGGTTCTGGGATTTAAAGAGCACCACGGTCAGGCTCGGTCTCTAGACTCGCTTGTCACAGGCTATTAAATCGAAGCAGATGGGCACAGCAGGTTGCAATCAGCGCGTTTCAGGGCTAGCAAAGGCTCTCCGCTGCGGTTCGGGCTGGAACAAGAAAGCAGCCCCTGCGCTCCCTGCGCGGGCGCGCTGCTCGCGTGAAAAGCTGCACGTTCCCAGCCCCGCGGAGCTCTCGCATGGGGCCATCAAGCGATGCCACCTCCCCAGCACGGGCGTCCGAGGAGCAATGTCACCCGCCTCGGCGGTGGCCATGGGGACTCTCCGGTCCCAGCTCCATAGGAGCACTGAGCATAACGTTTTTTGGCACCCCAATGAGATGGATCCCACCATGGCCAAGTCAGAGAAGCTTCCAGAAGCCAAAAGAAATGGGCTTTGGCTTCCGTTTCGCACATCGCACGGTACCTAAAGGGCTCTGAAGACAAGGCGAAACATTATGCCTCAAGTCCAGTCAAACCACCGTTTCAGATCCGAGTTAATCTGAATCCCAAGCTATGGTTTCTAAGCAGCACAGCACATCTAAGGCACATGTATGCATGCAAGCCACCGGCACTGGGTTAAGACATCGCTGCGTTGTCCTTAAGAAGCAATGGCTGCCGGTACAGAACAAACACAGAGGCTCTTTTCAGCGCTAATCCTCCTCCCCAATACTGAAAACACTATATACTGCTGACAGCATCATGTGCAACATATATAGAGCTTGATTGGAAAGCATGGGGCAGAACTTTAAAAAATGTACAGGATTCCGTTTAGAACTCCAAAGTTCAACAAATGCCCTATTTTAGGGTGAAAACAATTATAAATCTGATAATGATGCACAGCATCCATGAGTGGTTTTTCCTTAATTTTGAAATAGTGTCATTAACTACGACATATATTGTAGGTTTACATTTCTAAAGAGAAATAACAGAATCGAATAGTTTTTTTTTCCTATCACAAGTGATAACCAGTGTTTGATATCTTCTATTTTTTTTTTTTTTTCTTCCAAGAAATATCAGTCTATCAACAGTTTTAAAATAAAATGTTTTCTGTAACAATAGAACTTTAAATAAAAATATGATTCTGATTCAGGTACTTTCGAGAAGACATGGATGCTTTTCCAACATCTTCTGACAAAGTAATTATTAAAACAGAGACCAGATGAGGCCTTAAAAAGACAATATACTATATTTCAGACAAGATTGCACTTCAGTTTTTTCAAATAATAGCATAATTGCAACATTACTTCATCATTTCTTCTTTTAACATGCTGACAATTTCCAGCTAGCCCACGTGTGAAGGGTTTGGTTTGGGTTTTTTTTTTAGGGTTTTTTGTTGGTTTTCATTTGTATCCTAGCTTAAAGAAAGAAAAGTCAGTAATTTATTCAGCACATACTGTATACGTCTTTTCACCTCCAATTGACTAGATCGTTAATAAGTTAAAAAACAAAGATTCCTCTCTGACCATAACCATTATCCTCACGAGGGATAAGTGATTCTTCAGAGCTTAAGTGTTGCTAGTTCTATTAAAAAATATACCATGGTATGATTTCTTAATGTGTTGCTACTTTCGCAATTGGACCCTATGCAGTTATGCCTTCAAACTCTCCCCTCTCTTCCACAAGGTGGTTCTGTGAGCTTTAGGACCTCTGATTGAAGACAAACTGATATAAAACCCCCAAACGGAGTCGTCTTCTGTTTAATCCGCCTCCCCTATCGGATGTCAGGGGTCTGGTAGATCCGATGTATCCACTATGACTTTAATAAAAATAGTATCATCTTTAATATACGTTCCATTCTCTAGGACAGTTTGAGCCACGAAGACGGGGCAGCCGGACGCAATGTTCATTTCTCCGGTCGGCTTCTTGAAACTGCTGCTGTTGGGATCCGGCTTGAAAGCATCTCCTAAGTGGCGTCGGGACGGTCCCTGATCCATCAGCATCAGAGTCACCTTCTGCTTGAAGGGCCAGGGAAGCAGCGCGTCGTATTCTCCACGCATGATGACGAAAAACAGCGACAAGTGCGTCCCCTTCCCCATGCCGTCGCCGTTCAGGTAAACTCTGGCGCACATCTTGTAGCCAAAGTATCCCGTGTAAAAGGGCTGGCTGTACAAGGACAGAGTCTTCCCCATCACCGCCTCTTGCTTCCGACGTTTATAATCGCGGATTTTCCAAATTAACACCCCGTTGTAACTGGCAGTTTCCAAAACCTGGAAGCGGAGGTCCATGTCAGCCAGCCGAATGTCATGGACGCTCAGCATCTGGTCGTGTCTGCTCAGCTGGGTCTCCAGGAGGCCTGGCAGGAAAAGGAAAGGACGTGAGTGAGAACAGTGGGTTGTTTTTTTCCTAAAGACAGGAAAACTCAATCGCTAATGCTGCTATTGCACATGAAAACCTTTTTCTTTCCCAAGAACCAAAGTGCGTTTGGTCACCGCTGAAGCAATTTCCAGTTCCCCAGCAAGTGTCTAGGTTACCTGGGATGTTTATACACACGGGTGCTGAGCACACACGCAGTAAAAATCAAGTATTCAAATAATCCAACAGAAATGTCATCTGGTCACTAAGCAATGTTGAAATCATCCAACAGAAATGTCATCTGGTCACTAAGCAGTATCACTGCAGAGGCTCCCAGTTCTTGCGAGGAGACTTGGCAGCGTTCTCTGTAGATCGCTGTTAGCAGCGAAGACCCTGGAAGTGGTCCCACATCCTACACAACCCTCCCGAAATTCAGACGCAGCGCTCACTCCAAGCATTCTCCTCAGACACTGCTTGTCCCAGAAGTGTGCAGCTGTTACCTTGGATAAAGCTCATTAGAAAAGACCGGAAAATTCAAGTCCAGCTCTGCGTTACGTGGCCACTTGGAGGGAGGCCTGGTTTTAATGTCCCTTTTCCCTCACATGAAAATATTGGTCTCTGTGTTTGCATGCTGGCACCATAGAGAAGCAGATGAATTCATAAGGCAGATTTGTTTCATACAGATTTATTTGATCATTAAGTTCTTTGTCCCAATCACTTAAACACTTCCATATGAGCTACACTATCTTGCCAAACTCAGCTCTGGCTTTATTCAGCGAGCACAACAACCTTATTCTCAAGCAGATCTCACTTTTCTTCGGGTCAAAGATACCCCTCTCTGTCACAGACCTGGGGACAAGCGATTTTGGGTGGATCACCACACTGCTGATCCACTCATGGGGGAGAAGAGTAATACAAGAAGACTTTTCAATATACCCACTTAAAGAAGGTGCTGAAAGCCACCAGCTGTCAAAGATCAGTTGAGAAACTCTTGACGATGAACTGACACTGGGTGTAATCAAGAAAAGTGTCAAGAAAACAAAATAAAAAGACAAGAATCAAGCCTAAGAAACCACAGGATGACGCAGTTTCCTATTCAAGAACCAGCACTGTTGATGCTTCCACATAAACCCCCACCGGCAGCGCCATCCGAAGGACGCTACTGTTCTCTCGACAGCACTTGGTCGGTCGTGCTTACACTTACTGGTATTTCGAGCTCCCTGCCCCGCGGTTTTGTCGACGCTCTCCAGCTCCGTCACCCGGTTCTGGAGGGACTCCACGCTGCTCTTCATGCTGTCGGCCTCCTCCCAGTTCTGCCGAAAGGGACGGATCTCCTTGTCCAGCTCTTTCAGTTTCTCTGCTTGGCTGTCTATCACTCGCTTTGGAAAACAACAGGTTACCAGTTAAAACAGCAAAAAGGCACTAAGCTACACCAATTAAGGCTTATAGCGCGATAAGAAGATGCATCCCCAGTATAAAATAAACACAATTCACGCCAAATATTTTAATAAAGCAAACCTGGCAAATTTAAGATGAATAGCCCAAGTATTTCTAAAGCACTTCTACAAATCTTCAGTGCTGCACAGCTGTATTAGAGCACTATCAGAATTACCAACTCTAGTATTAAAAATGGTCTAAATTTTAAAAAAATAATCTCTTTCAAAGCAAGAACCATCTTCTGAACGTCTCTAAAGGGACATTGCGGGCTGGTGTTTGTTGGGTTTCGTGTCAGAGGAGCAAAGTACGGGCACAACAACTTGGCGCGGTGGGAAGCAAGCGGCTGCTCACGCGCACGCGTTCATCGCTGGGTAACAGCAAAAGAACCTCCCCCTGCAGAAAAACACCCGCGCTCCTGCACACGTGGAGCAGGAGTCGCTGTATGTGCAGACACAGTGGCATCAGTGAGCTCTGCTCACAGAAATCAGCTATTAAAGCCTAAGTTATTGAGTGCCCATACCTACAGGAGAAGCCCTCAAGAGTGTGAGCAAAAGCTGCCACTTCTGAGCCTTTTCACACTTCAAATCCTCACCCTCGCTTCCTAAACAAGCCACATGTCCCAGAGGTGCTGGCCTGTTGAGGCTTTTTAAGAAAACAAAGCTGATTTTGGAAAGGAATAAAATCTAAAAATAAAGACTAATTCCATAGCAAGGCTGGGATTCTCAGAAACAGGGACATCGCAGCACCTCAATACATTACAAATACAGAGAACATATTTCCCAATCTGCCTCGAATCTGATGCAAGAAACACAAAGCACTTCACGTTATCGCAGCCCATTTGGACTAGCAGGAATTTTAGCCAGAACCCCATCGTCAGTTGTGAAGTTCAAATGGTAACACACGAATATTGGAGACAAGAAACTACTTTTGCTACCACCTACAGTTAAACTCCACATCTAACTTTGTATTGGTCACCATACGGTGCCGAGGTGTAAGGATGGTTTTTCACTTCTTAAAAGAAAGCGGCAGCTGAGTACAAAACAAGAAAATCAAGTTATTTTGCATTTGCCTCCTGGTTAGCCGCGGGGATTCGATGTTCCCCACTGACGGGGAAAACCCTTCTGCCTCATGCACCCTTCGTTTCCCCTTTTAGGCATTTGCTCTTGATCCTGCGCTTTCAGTTACACTGCAGATCTCCAGCGATTCATTGAAGGCTGTCAGTCTGACAAGGCAGCCAGCAAAAAGCGTGTTCTAGGAGCGCCTGATTTCGTTGTGTGTCAAAACCCCCGAGTAATCTAAATTTCAAGAGTGTTTCTTTCTACGTTGGTGTTTTAAAGCAAGCCGACACATCGCGCTTGCAGAATGACAACTTTGTGAAGGAAAGCTGTGTGCTGAAACATAAAGGCAGGGGAATAGATTAAAATTAAATTGATTAAGCAACTTGCCTGGACGTATTAATCGGGTACCGCCACAGCCCCACCCTCTCACCTGGACTGAAGGCAATCCAGAAACACAGCACAGAAGGGCTGTTGCTATACATAAAATGGAAACACACCATGGAATGGCCTGAATGGATTTTGTCAGAGCAGAGCCACAAGATCTGGCCATTAATTCCCAGTGAATATGGAAAATTAAACTCAAGGGCTGATCTTTTCCCTCTGCTCACAGCAAGGCAGGAACAGAGACAGCGCGGTGGGTTTGCACGGTGCCTCACACAGAGATGCTCTCATTTCCCCCTGGGACCTCTTGGCACTGACACGAGGAGTAAAGACATTTTTAGGTGAATTGGGAAAGGGCTAAAGATGCAGAGGAATTGTAACCTGCTCTTCTTTTGGGAGGAGCTCCCTGAAGTTGTTACTAGGGACCAGCTTCTCTCCATCAGCCTGTGTGCACGCACAACCAACTCTGGGTTTTAGCTGCTTCTACTCCACGTTGGCCAACACGAAGCATTTTATCTCCTGTAACTCTTCAGGAGAAATCAAGAGATTCAGAACAATCAGAAACAGACTTGTATCTCCTTTTTTAAAAAAAGCAGTGGGATTTCTCTCTTTCCACCCTACAGGGAAGTCGAGCTCCCCCATGCTGGGAGATACTGATGTACTAAAGCTGAATTTAGTGCAGCAGCGCAGAATTTCACTCTAATTATGCCATTAGAAAGCACACAGATGTCTCACACTGTACTCATAAATTTTCAAGGAGATATCAATTTTCTGCATGCACTTTTTCTTCCAGCAACTGACCTCTCCACATCATTAAAGCAGAGTTATACGCCTGGCAAACCGTTAAAGGCTGCTCTCAATGTCAGTTTTCATCTAGGTTATGTTTGGTATTTCTAATAAACAATTTCCACAGTTCGAGCGCTGTTATTCCTAAAAGAATTTAGAAAATGTCACGGCGAACTGAAGAAAGTTGTATTTGCAGTTCTCTCTCTTTCAGATGCTCCTAATGGGCCTTTACATTGCAACTGATGGAGCACAACTGAAAAGCTAAAGAGAAAAGGAACCAAAGGTACTATCTGACCAGAAAAACAAAGCATACATCCTCCTCCTTGGAAGGACTCAATAGAAATCAATGGAAATCAAGTAATTTTATATTCATAAGGTCACTGTTTCTTTAGTCTTTAAGTACCTCGTGTCCGTGCTCAGCTTAAGACAGCTTACTAATACTCTCCCATATATTTATAAGAAGAGACTGGATGCTGGCTGTGAAAGTGCCTTTCCACAAGGCAGCAGCCAAAAAAGCATCCCATACTTCCCTGGTGAAAACCCTTTCCCTAGAGATCATATAGTGAAAATTAATTACTGAATATTAATCCGAATCCAAACACCTCAACGTTGAGGTCGCTGCCATCGCCCAGGCCCCTGTGATGCCTTCACAGGAGTTGTGCAGATGACGCCCGCTGTGTAACATGAAAACTAATCCTGGAACTGCACTGGGAATTATTAAAGTGCCCAGGACTTGGGGAACAAGCAATTAATGCTTGTCCAGACCCAAAATGGCCAGTTCTGCGCTGGAAATACCCGTGGCTCTTGTGTAGCCATGGCTGCTCAGTGCAAACCAGTGAAAGACCAGTTCACAACAGGTAAACAAGTCCTGGAAGGCAAGAGGAGGCTGACTGCACTGTCCAGGAAAACCAAACTGAGGGGCGTTTCCAGGGTGCTCTTAACCTGACTGAACCAGGAACAGCCAGGAAGAGGAAGGAATTGGGCTGAAGTAGCTGTAAAACGGAGTTTGGCTTAAAAGAACCAAACTAAAATCACTGGTGAGAAGAAATAAAGGAGGAGGGGAAAATAAAAGAGCAAAACTCATCCTTCTCCAGTATTTATTGCCACCAAAAAGGCACCTGTTGGAGTCTGCTAATCACACTGTTTCGTGGGGTTTTTTTTGTCTAAACATAAACCATTTGAAAATTGATTCTGCCAACACTTCCAGCTTGAGGAAATCAAAGATACCGCAATCCGTTGTCAAGACAATCCTGAAAACACAGCTCTGCGTTCCTTCCATTTCCACTTTCATTGCTGGTTAAGAGACAGCGTGTGTAAAAACCCCAGGCACCCAAATGAACTTACCTCCAGGTAGATTCAATCAGCAATACCAACACACACAAGGATTAGCTTCCCAGCGCCAGGATGCAACAGGCAGCCACGTCCCAGCCTATCCTCAGCCCCAGTAACAGCGAGTGAGGCTGAACTGGTTACTACTGGGGCAGGACATGGAAAGAAATCAGTGCTCCAAGGAGAAATGTTGTTGGTGCTGAACTTTAAGGTTTCCTTATGAACCAAAATTAAAGGTTTTGGGGCTCTGAGGTATTTATTGAACGTGCTACATGTTCTGGTTTGGATACTTCTCTCTTTCTTGAGTATCAACAGCTGCAGTTTAAGATGTGAATAGCAAGTGAGAAAGATCATTTTATTTACATTCCTTTAAGCTGGATGCTAAAGCAGGTATCTGATATTCAGACAAGCTGATAAAATAATGTGTGATACCTTCCCAGCAGCTAAACATCTCCCGAGGTTTCCCTGACCGTGGTGAGCAGCACACAAGCTGATACCAATTCTCAGTGTCCAGAGCATTCCCAGTTTGATGGCCAGGGGATTCAGACCACGGAGTAAGAAACTGGGACCCACTGGTGCAGGATTCATGAGGTAAACTTCTCCTCATAAGGACAGCAGAAACACGGATTTTAACCAGTGTACTCAAATGCATCGTACTACTTTTGGATTAACTCCACACCAGACTGATCTCACTCGTGATTAATGATCTTTAAAATACCAGCGAGTAGAAAAGAAACGTCCACTGTGCAGCTTTAAGGTGCAAATCTTGTCCTCCAGTTTGACCGCAGTTCCTCATGCAGTTATTTTTTGCAGAGAAGAAAAAACAGTTATATTATTATCTCAGTGTTCTGCAGGTTTGCACCTTTGTTTTAAACCTTTTCCCTTTTTAAGCAGGGGTTTTTGTTTTAATATATGATAGGCAACTGCGGTGTCCTGGTGAAGTATCTCCCTCCAACAAACCAGCTACTGACCAGAAGGAAAACAACAGAAAATAAGAGAATAAGCTTCATAAGAAGGTAAACTCGCTCCCCCCCTTTTCAAGGAGAACACCTCACTTCCCAAGTGTAAAGGCACAGCACAGAAGCTACCACCATTTCTGCGTTAACGGGGAGATTCTAAATGTCTTACCTGTAAGTGAAGTATTTTAGATTCATTATTCCGCAGCATTTCCTTCTGTCTCTCAATTTCTATTTCAAAGCTACAAATCTGATTATGTAAAGTTTGAATACTCTTGTTCTTTTCCAAACTTTCATTCTGGAGCAAGGCCACCTGGAAAAAATTCTACAATTACTCCTGCCAAAGTTTATTCAAAAAAATAACCTGCAACTTTGTTAAGTTTTCGACTATCTTACACACACGAAAGGGATGAGATCCTAATAAAAATCTCCCTCCATGCCTTCAAAATAAATAAGTGAACGCCAACCTCTAGAGCTACTTTCGCACTTCCACAGCGTGGTACAAATTTGGGTAAGGAAAGTGCCGATGGGATACGCAAACGGCCAAATAACTGGTGTCTAAGTGTAGTTTTTTTAATTCACTTTCTTATTTAACGGCTTGGTTTCCTGGTTTGCACTGCCTGACTTGGGAGGTGCGTGGATTTTTGGAAGAAATCACCTACTTAGTGCTCGATCGGTGGGAACAGCTCGAAGCCTGCGCACAAGGGACGGCAGAGAGAAGGGGAACGTTCACCTTCCCCACCTACCCCAACCTATCTTGGAGCAAACTGAATTAAAACATCGTCTGCGTGGGATTGCCTTGGCTTCACGGAATGTGATGGTGATGGAAAGTCCTGAAATGAGTGAATACAGGAGGGATCCATGCGTTTGAAGGAAAATCCGGGGGTGCCTGCTGGTGGAAAAGACTCAAGAGCTACAGCCTGCGGATTACAGTCTCTCTGTAGTGACATTTCATTAACTCCTTCATTAGTGACTCATTCTGATTTTAAAACACGAGCCTTGTTAGAAGAATATCATATCAATCATATCATATCACATCTCTCCTTGGGGATGAAGGTGAATACAGTGGATATTCTCCATCGCACGTTTTGTGCTCTGTTTGTTCATGTGGTTTGGGAAGGGGGCAGTTTTGTGGTGGTTTAAAACAAAAATCCCAGTTTTCTCCAGGCACAAGCACAGAAAATAAACATCTGGCAGAAAATGACCCTGGGACATGCCCTGGGGCTCTTTAGGTGGATAAGAAGCAGTGCGATTTTTGACCCAGGAAAATCTCGATTAATGTTCCATATGTGCTTTGTGCTCCCCAAAAAGATCAACACCAGCACTCCCAATGCAGATCCCAGCTTGAGGACAAGCCGTTTTTACCTCTGATGTGGCACCACTGTGATTCCACCATCAAATCCCTCACTGGTCACTGCATCCCCAGGCTCAAGCAGCCATCGCCTGGTTAAAAAGGCATTAAAAAGGCATTTCCATCTCTGCACTAACCTAAACTAGACCAAGGACTGCCCAATGCATTCCAGCAGGTTCAAAAAAAGGGCCTAAAAATGTAGAGGAATCACAATGTATGTGCGTATCTACTTCTTGATACAGCACAGCACGCGTGCATATACACACATGCATTGACTTCTCATTTCCTACAGGCAAAACTGGCGGAAGAGGCTCGCCAGGAAGGAGACAAAGCTGATTTTGCCAGTGCAGAGAGAGAAACAATCTCAAGGCTGAAGGGAATAGAGACAAATTTTGAGAATAAGCTTAAATTTAAACTCGTACCCCTGCCTCCCACGTACTTCATAATGTGAAGGAATAATTTTAATAATATTTGCATCCTCCTTTTCCTTATCGAATCCCAGTTTTTTAGTTAATCGTGATCTTGACATTCCCCTCTCCTCACTGTTTCCTCCCCAGGCCTCCCAACCCTAAGGCAGTTCAGTTCCTCTCTGCATCCCTACCATTACATTTCCATTTCTGCACAGGTTCTAAGATGCGGGGCCGTCTTGTACAGAGATTTTCCACGCAGTTTCCCAGCACACAAGGAGAAGCAGAATGATGTCCTGCAGCCCTTAATCACACAGAACTGTCGCTGCTAAGTCAGTAATTGTAGCCTGGAGGCAATGTGTGAAGAAGAAAGCTTCAACACTAAATACAGTTTCCTAATTGCACTTGGTTTAAATCTGAGGAACTTCAGCTAAAAAACAGGGTAAAGGAAGCACAGCATCTCTTTCCAAACTGCATCCACTGGCTTCCTTTACATCCTTGTCATGTCTGACAGGTTCCTGGGATGAAGCATGCTCTTATTCAGCAGGTTTTTTTCAAATTAAGCTATTGCTTACTAAAAAAAGAGTGGAAGAAACCTGATGCCACAAAGAACTGGATTAAAACAGGTCCCGTATTTAAGTCACATATTAAAAAAAAAGGAAAAAACAGTTTGTACAAGATCTAAGAACGTGAAGAAGCCCCAAAAGGACGTTCAACTCATGAAGCGCAACATCACAAAACCCGTGGTGGGAGCTCAGCCTGTGGGTCTGTGCCACCGCAGAGGGAACAAAACCCCCAATTTTCACTCGCCCCACAAGGTTCTGGTTCGGGATTTTCCACCTGACCCTCTCTGACCGCTCTTTGCCAGCGGCACCGTTCACATCCCAGACTCACAACTTCAGCACAGCTCTGAGGGCCTTCGGTCTGCACGAGCACCACTGAAGTGTGGTGACTGGAGAAGGCAGCTCCTCCTCTCCTCTCCTCTCCATTCATATCACAGCGAGTGATAATCCAATAAAATCAGATATTGCCCTTCAGAAACCATCAAGACTCCCAGTGCCTTCAGCAGGGCCACGATTTCTGCAATATCCATCAGCTCAGATTAGGCTTTTCTCAAAGAAGAGAGCAACAGTGAAGTTACGAATCATTTTGCTACCCTTCTCTAGCACAAAGTCACTGACATATGATATGTGGTCAGCTATTCTGGTAACTTGGCGCAGGCTTGGGATTTCCAGTGATTCAACTCTTTATTATGAATAGGAAGAAGTCTACAAAGCAGGAAGTGAAAAGAAAATTCAAATAATGGACAAACGATGATAAGCAGTTATGTCCTAAATGGAAGATAAAACAAAAATCGAACATAAAAGTAGTAAAGTGAATGTTCTCAGGTCTGTAGGAGACAAACATTGAACTGCTGGGTATTTCTTAAATGACAAAGCACCTCTAAGGACACTGACAAGAGGCAGAACATGATCTATCCTGGCAGTCACAGGGAACGTGGTTTTTTCCTATGATGTAAAATACGTTGTATAGTTTTAATCAGCCTAATGAAAAACCAACTAAGGATATGAATTGGTATCTGTTAAACCCGAAAAATGTGCGGTGCCCACGCTAATGGAGGGATTCAAGTGCAAAGGCAAATTTAAGTACTGTTATGGATCATCAGACGAAGACTTACACACGTAGTAAAAATTCTGTCTAAAAAACCTGCGCTGGATCTCTCCTGGGTTCAGGGATTCCAGTTCAAAACCAAGCAGTTTGGGGACAAAAAGCACATTTTGCTGTTCCTGTTAAACTTCTGCTTTCAAATGGGATTTCCCGCAGCTGCGGGACCCCGCTGGGCGCCAGGCGCGGGGGGACAGGAGTCACAGCCACGCGTACCTGCGCTGCCGCTGAGCGTACGCCGGAGCTGCTGCTCCTGCTTAACTCATTCGAGAAAAACCTGAAGGGGCTCCTCACTCTTGTGTCTGCATCTGGAGAGCAGCTTAGTAATTCTGGGATTTTTTTCCCCCCACAGAAAAAAGCAGAAGCGTTATTTTAACGGCTCTGTAAAGCAGAAATCTTTTTCGAAAGGTTTAACAGAAGTGATTTGCTCTGAACTTTTGCAGTTTTAAGTCAAAGCCTTCAATGTTATTTGGAGAACAGATGGTGAAGCCATTCAGACGATTCACAAGATCGCGGCTGACACTGATTTCCAGCATCTCCCAAATCCCAAATATTGTAAAACCAGGAGTCCCAAGGAAGCCCTGCAACGTGAACTTCACTCTGGTCTTGCCATACAGCAGAGACCATCATGCCCATGAGTTACATTACGTTTAATTTAATTAACCTTTGCATGTCATTAAGCTCGGAGAGCAGGAACAGAAATAAATGAAATCACTACTTTATTACATGGGATTCCTAATAGTGTTATAGCTGGAAAAACACTGAGCTAGCAGAACTGCAGCTCACAGCGCTGCCATAGCTTTCTGAACGCTCCCTTTCGTAAGGAGGCAGCTCAGAGAGGAAATTTAATACTGGGCCATGTATCTGTGTGAAGAAAGTGCTTTAATTAAGTTACCAATGAGCAAAATTGGTTATGGAGTTGCGAAGCCAAGTTTCTCACAGCATTTTGTTCTGACAGGGGCACCAGATCCGCTAGATGGCTTGGCTGCTTTTGGAGGCTACTTGGGCTTTAGCTGTACTGCTGAACAGCTGCTAAACAGAAAAAAAAAGCGCTTTTCCCAGTACTTTTATATGATTTAAAGAAATCAATGAAAATTAGAAGTGAGTAGAAGGTATACCTTATTTTCTAGAGCATTGCTCCACTCTTTCAATAAGTTAACATGCTGCACTGCTGAGCTGGCTTCATGTGCTTTAATTTGTTGGTTTGTTCCCTGTGACAACAAAGAATTTATACATTTTAGCCAATTCCACTTCTTTTAGACCTACAAAGAAAGAGTATATCAAGACATCGAACCAGCACTACATTTTTGGTGCACGGATGCGTGCTGCAGAACAGTAGAGAGAAGGGAAATCTCCCTGGGGATTTACAGAAGTCAGGAATACATTGAATATAGCAAGTTCTATACAACTGCCACAGATCTCCATCCAGCGTACTGCACACGTCAGAGATAATAAAGATGAACGAGATTTGCAAAATGAATTGTATCTGGGAGTCTCTGGCGTAGCTTTACACTAAATAAAGCACAATAAAACTCCCAAGTCACACAAAACCTAAACCGTCCAATTCCCCAACCCGTAATTTAAAACTTGTGTTGTATTTCATGAACAGCTTCATAAGCACTCAATTCTCCCTCGGTCAGGTATGAATGACAAACATTCAAGATAAATTTATCATCACTGGAAGCTGCCAGCTTTCTAAATTGCTTTGAGAGATATCCCAATGCCTACTTTGTCATCCTGAGGTGGCACCGGGATTGCTCTGTGCTATTTGGATGCGCTGCCTCTGCACAACCTAGAAATGCTGCTACAAATCACCACCAGAGAGAAGGTTTACAGCACACACACAGATCGTATACAGAGTACATAAGATGCAGACCATCCTGCTTTATTTGCACCTCCCTCGGCAAGCGCTCGGCAATGCAGCGGATACTCGCTTTGGTGGCAGACAGGGTGCAAAGCAACTGAGAGGGTTTCAATGATCCTCAAGGTATGTACTCTATATAAAATACTCAAAATATATATGTGGATATATGTACATATATGCACACATATAGATACATAAAATGAATGGCAATACGTACGACATAACAGTGGGCAGGGTCACAGCAGTGATCGCTTCTACCACTAAGAGCATTACTGTTCACGTTTAAAATGAGGAATGCTCCTTATTTAGGAACCTGGAAATACCTGCAGGAAGGAGCGTTGCTGCTTACAGCTCTGGTCTCTTTAAGCTGCCATGGGCTAACGAATGATTCACTCTCTGATCGACCCCGTTTTTTCCTGTCAGCGGTTTCTGAAGTTTCCTGACTAATCTCGTCATGATCTAAGCATCCAAATTCCCCAAGATCCGTGGTAAGGGAAGCAGAATAGTGGAAGAGACTGGAGTAATCCTACTGGAACTAAACTCTGAGGTTTGGCTTTGTAAAATTTTCCATAAAAGATTGCAGGGATTGCCAGGATTAAAACCTGAAATTTTTCTATTTTCAATAAATTTCATGCTCCGATTTGATTATACACCTATGTGCACACAGACATATGAATGCACAGAAAAATACACGTTTTAAGTGCGCTAGCCGAAGCTTAACCTGAATAAAAATATTAAGACACACAAATGAGAGAAAATATAAACATATTTAGCTCAAGGAAATAAATACTTTCATAGAAACAACTGAAGTTACTCGTCTGTTTTCTGAAGGTCTAAAGCGACTTTCCTCTCATTCCAATTATAAAAGTTCTTCAAAGGTACCATCTTCCCATTTCAACAAGATGTACCTGATCACTGAACTCCCCAGCCACTGCAGCAACGCGTGGGCTTTTCCTGTTTTCTGTGTATTTTTCAAATGCAAACCCAAACATCTGCTGCATAACCGCTCGGATGACTTTTTCTTAACCGAGACCAGAGAGGTCCAGAACGTTCACGGCAAAGAGTTAGGTTCTACGTGCAGAATTTCATCAATTGGGAAGGAGAATTGTGATATACTGACCTGAAAAGTGCAGCCATAACGCTTAAAACTACAGGTACTTGGGGCATTAATACATTCTGACAAATGTGCATTCAACTGCAATAGGAAAAAAACGTGAGTTTTGACATGATAATGCTCAAAACAGAAAGGGCACAGGTTTATCAGGTCTGTACCGTGTGCCGCTGGCAGAACATACAACACACGTGTGTATATTTTCTCCAGTCTGCCCTGAAGTGCAAATACGCTCTCTATACACATACGTCAACCACACGCACATGCCAATACAGTATACAGTGTGATACATCGAATATACAGTGAAACTGCTACTAAAGACTGTTGCAGTAGGCCACCCAATTGAAGAGAAAGCCACATCCACAATTATCCACGGGATTTCAGTTGACTTTAGCCAATGACCAAGCGTTTCTCAACGAGGGATTTCTTTTCTTGGTGTTCTGAGCAAGTCTTAAGATCAGTTTCACTGTAGTAAAGTACATTTTTATTTATTTTTTTTTTTTCTAATCCTAATTTCACAACTTTTTTCAAAACAGGACATGCAATTCTCGGTGCCGAAATTTCACGGTTAAATTACACAAAAAATGACTACACAGGTACCGCATGAAACACACAAAGAGTTTTAGAAGAGGTGCAGTTCAGTAACTTTTAAAAACGCAGTACACGGGATTCAAACGGATTAGTAAAATGCCTGCATTTCTCACAGCTTGAGATTTATTCCAATATCTTGGGTTATTCTGAGCACAGCCCGCTTTTCCTTTAAAAAATAAACCAGTTCAGAGAAGCAGATACATATACACAGAGAGCAGCCATCGCAGCGCAGAGGGCAGCAGCTGGATGCAAACGGCCTAAAAGTTGGGAGCAAAGAGCCATTTTTGGCAAGGACAGAGCACCAAACCCTCCCTCTCTCCAAAAACAGGGTCTGCAGTTTGGGTTGCCCACAAAGCAGACGGGAACTGGAGCTCAGCATCACCCTTTGGGGTTTAAAATCTCATCTTGAGACTCCCACACGGGAAGCCCCATGACTTGAGGGAAGTGGTGAGCGGACGCTGCTATGGGACAGGCTTTAAAATGCCGTGTTGAGATGTATCGGTCACTCAGCTCTGATACGCACTGCTGTGTCCTGAACACTACCTGTGGAGATTCAGTCTTGTTTCAAAAGACACGTGGTCCGGGAAAAAAGTCAGAAAGAGACACGTGGTGTGCCAGGCTTTACAAGAACGCCCCATTTTCCACTTCTCAAAACTAGGAGTCTGCCAAGGAGTCATGAATTAAACATGAAAAGCTGCCTTTTCTTCTACAAGAACATATTCATTCGCTTGCCGGACGCTACAGAATTTGCTCAAACTGTTAGGCAGGCATTTTCCCATGTTCTGCATTAGCAGCGTTGTCCCTAATCATGCAGCTCAGTCATAGAGATCCATTTTCACAGTATCAGAAAAAAAATTAAGCAACAGACAGCAACAGATGATGCAGGGCAAGATGAGACTTTAAAGCTGCGATTCTCCCAATGTTTCAGAGCCCAGATCTGGCCGGGTGTGTAACCACCCAGCCACAGCTCAGTATCTAGTGTGTATTTTATGTATCTCCTTATCCTGGGGGAAGAGACTGCCCCTGCGTTTGGCAGGTGCCTCATGCACTGCGGCGTGGTTAATAATTTACACGTGTAACTAAAGAGATAGTGAGAATGCAACTCAGGATCACTGGAAAGAGAAAAGAAACTCCGCTTTCCTTAAGCGAGGCTTACGGAGCGTGACTTCAGTAAGCTCTTGCTTACAAATAAGACCGTGGATGTGTTCAAAGATTTTATTTGTTTTAAATCTGGTCTGTACGTGACTGCAAGCTTCTGCACATTAAGAGGAATCTCTATGTGTTGCTGCATCCGGCTGCAGGAATG